AGGAATCCTGATGGTGTCGACAGCTGTTTAATCCACTGGTGATCAGAGTCAGGTTCAAACCGAGACGATGGTTTTACCTTTCGACCGACTCCGCCGTGATCCAGAAAACTCTTCAGCTTCTCCAAATATGCGGATGGTGGATTCTTCACTTGAAAGCGCTCCTGCAGATACAGAGAAATGCACACACGCACACACACACAGCCCTCTAATTATATTTCATTGCTGTACTGCAGTGAGAGGAACGGGGGACCAGGAGGCAGAGCTCAGGCAGAGTTTCACACAGACAGCTTGATTACACAGCGGCTTATATGCAAATGAATTTCAGATCATCAAGCTTCCAAAAATGATTCTACTCTGATGCAGCCATTGTATTCACACAGTTTAGCTACACCAGTCCCATCAAGACCTTTGACTGAACAATCTATTTTGTCAGTTTCTGAAAACTGTCGAGGGAAAAGGCAGTAACAGCTACAGGGAAGAACTTTTTTATGTGATTAAGCACAGCTCAGATGTCTACTGCCCATAGAACATGGTGCATTAATAATCTTATTTTCCAAAAACCTTTCAGGGCAACAGAGTGTATGTGCTCGTGGAAAACGTCAAAACATGGAAAGCAGAGTCACCTGGTCGCAGATCAGCTCCCACTTCTTCTCGCTGTCATACTGGCTGAGGATCTTCACCTTGTCTGGAGGAAGATTCATCGTGTTTTGGACGTGGGAAGATAAGGAAAAAAGCCTTTTGAGTTAAAACAGCAGGTCTGCCTTACAGAACGTGTACAATAAACCAAACCTATTTTAAAATGCAACTGAAATCCCCCCTTTTGTCAGCGATTTTCAAATGTAGGCCATCTTCCCCTGGGCCATCACTCTGATGAACACTTGACCCATGACAGTATAACTGGACAATAACGACGTGAACTACAGATGCCTGGTTGGGACAAACCGTAGAAAACGCGGCCTCCAGTCTGAAGCTAGCCTTAGCTTTCATTCATTTTCTACCGCTTAGTCCCTGAATGGGGTCACAGGGGGGCCGGAGCCAATCCCGGCCGGCAATCGGGCGAAGGCGGGGTACACCCTGGGCAGGTCACCAATCCATCGCAGGGCTAACACATAGACGAACAACCACACACACGCACTCCTATGGGCAATTTAGAGACACCAATCAACCTAAGCTGCATGTCTTTGGACTGTGGGAGGAAGCCGGAGTACCTGGAGAGAACCCACACAAGCACGGGGAGAGCATGCAAACTCCACACAGAAAGGTCCCAGGTGGGGCCCAAACCCGGAACCTTCTCGCTGTGAGGCAACGGCGCTAACCACTGTGCCA